CAGGTTTGAGAGTTTGCAAAGTACAGGAGAACTTCATATCAAAAGCTTCTTTACTTAAAAGATACTTTCATTCTAGAGAGAATGCAATGCCTTTAATTAAATCTCACATGTTAGAGGAAGCTACATTTGCAAGAAACTAACAAATTAAAGAGACCCATACTTGTAGCAGTCTGTAGTAGGGAAATCTACATCTACAATAGAATGTCATTTTTGGTTTGCACTTATATGTTGAAGAGACATACACTTGTGAGTCTTTGTCTTTATTAATGGTGATTAACTTCTAATGATTTCATTGTTGTGGAACTCCAAGTACTAAGCTGGCCATGGACACTGGACCTCTGACCTCAGACCTCCCTAGATCCCACAACAGAGATCTATATCTGTACGGCACCCATTGCACCAGCCTTATCACCAAGAAACAAATGCAATAATATTCAACTTGGCTGACATTTGTTTGCCCACACACCCACCAAAATAATTTACCCGTCAATGTAGCAATCATTGTTCATCTCTTCAAAATCATCAGGACTGGATGAGGACAACTTAAAATGTATACGATTTGTAAATGTTTCACTGTTCTGGGCTTTCAAGATTGCAAGTTCACTTTAGAATACGTTGCAGATCTGAAAATCAAGGTGTCACAAAACAAGACAAGTGAAAAACAAATGACAAAAAATGTGTTTCTCAAGAGAAAAATATAATTAATTTGTGGTTAACATTTTTGAAGATAGGTCCTGTTACTACAAATGAGTTTTGTGATTTCTTTATACATTTTTTTTCAAATACAACATACATTTATGTTTTCTGAAATCAGTTTGTTGTGCTGTATTGTGCGGGGGTGTATTTTTTATTATTTAATTTTCCATTTACAGCCAAATTAAATAAATGTTTGCAAAGCAGTAATCCAATGAAAACTGCACAAACCTATAAAGATTTGTTAAGTAATGCAAATCTTACTTCATGCCATTGGCAGGAAAAGCAATTGGCACAAATTTAGGAAAAACAGTGATGAATCTGAAATGTATTTGTTTACGGCCTGTTAATCAGATATGTTTGTACTAAGTGAATTCCTGGTTGTACAGCAATTATTATAATGTGCAAATCAATGTAGGAAAAACATAGGCTTGGAAAAGAGTGCAATTTAATTATGAACTGTTATTGCCCATAGAATCATTACTAAAGTGGTAATATTTGCTGTAAGATAGATAACACGCAATATATGAGCATATTTTGGAAACTTAAACATACATATAAACATTGCCTAAGACCTAGTTTACACTTGTGTTGAAAAAGAGCTGTTGCAGAGCATTTTTTAAAGCTCTCCCATAGACCGCATTGTATCCATCACATAATTTAATGTTGGCCTGACAGCCCTGGATGCTTGAGACCCACAGCAAAGTTAGCAGCAGGCAGTACTTCTGTCAAACAGGACACATCCAAGTGAACGAGGTAGCACCCCAACCACAAGCCAAATTGTAGGTTTGTGGTTGTGGCTAGAGATGAGCGAATCGAAGTAGGCGAAGTGGAATTCGAGTCGAATATTGGAAAATTTTCGATTCGCGCCGAATCCGAAAAATAGCCTACTTCGGACGCGCGAATCGAAATTTTTCCTAAAATGGCGGCGGACATGTGCGGCGACGGAGCGGGGATGTCTGGGAAGGCGCGCAGACAAGGCGCGCTGACCCATAATGCATTCCTTAATGACATGTGATCGCATTAGCCAATCAGCAGCCAGCCAGCCAGCACTGTGTAATGGTCGAGCTATAAATAGCGGCCATTTTAGAATTCTTCATTTGCCTGCAGTCATTCAAGAGAGGCAGACCGCTCTGTATTAGGGACAGAGTTAGGGCCACAGAAACGTTACTTGGGGACAGAGAAACGTTACTTAGGGACAGAGAAGCATTACTCAGGGACACAGAATTGTTAATGAGGGCCACAGAATCGTTTTACTTAGGGCCAAAGAAACGCTAGTTAGGGCCACAGAATTGTTACTCAGGGACAGACAGAATTGTTACTGAGTGCCAGAGAATTGTTACTTAGGGCCACAGAAACGTTAGTTAGCGCCACAAAATTGTTACTCAGGGACAGACAGAATTGTTACTGAGTGCCAGAGAATTGTTACTTAGGGCCACAGAAACGTTAGATAGGGCCACAGAATTGTTACTCAGGGACAGACACAGAATTGTTACTGAGGGCCACAGAACTGTTACTTAGGGCCACAGAAACGTTAGTTAGGGCCACAGAATTGTTACTCAGGGACAGACAGAATTGTTACTGAGGGCCACAGAACTGTTACTTAGGGCCACAGAAACGTTAGTTAGGGCCACAGAATTGTTACTCGGACAGACACAGAATTGTTACTGAGGGCCACAGAATTGTTACTGAGGGCCACAGAACCGTTACTTAGGGCCACAGAATTGTTACTCAGGGACACAGAATTGTTACTTAGGGCCACAGAACCGTTACTTAGGGCCACAGAATTGTTACTCAGGGACAGACACAGAATTGTTACTCAGGGACACAGAATTGTTACTGAGGGCCACAGAACCGTTACTTAGGGCCACAGAATTGTTACTCAGGGACAGGGCCACAGAATTGTTACTGAGGGCCACAGAACCGTTACTTAGGGCCACAGAAATTTTTACTCAGGGACACAGAATTGTTACTTAGGGCCACAGAAACGTTACTGAGGGACACAGAATTGTTACTGAGGGCCACAGAACTGTTACTTAGGGCCACAGAAATTGTTACTTAGGGACACAGAATTGTTACTCAGGGACAGACAGAAATTGTTACTGAGGGCCACAGAATTGTTACTTAGGGCCACAGAAACGTTACTCAGGGACACAGAATTGTTACTGAGGGCCACAGAACCGTTACTTAGGGCCACAGAATTGTTACTTAGGGCAGGGACAGACACAGAATTGTTACTCAGGGACACAGAATTGTTACTGAGGGCCACAGAACCGTTACTTAGGGCCAAAGAATTGTTACTCAGGGACAGACACAGAATTGTTACTGAGGGACACAGAATTGTTACTGAGGGCCACAGAACCGTTACTTAGGGCCACAGAAAAGTTACTCAGGGGGGACACAGAATTGTTACTGAGGGCCACAGAACCGTTACTTAGGGCCACAGAATTGTTACTTCAGGGACAGACACAGAATTGTTACTGAGGGACACAGAATTGTTACTGAGGGCCACAGAACCGTTACTTAGGGCCACAGAATTGTTACTCAGGGACAGACACAGAATTGTTACTCAGGGACACAGAATTGTTACTGAGGGCCACAGAACCGTTACTTAGGGCCACAGAATTGTTACTCAGGGACACAGAAATTGTTACTGAGGGACACAGAACCGTTACTTAGGGCCACAGAATTGTTACTCAGGGACAGACACAGAATTGTTACTCAGGGACACAGAATTGTTACTGAGGGCCACAGAACCGTTACTTAGGGCCACAGAAACGTTACTCAGGGACACAGAATTCTTACTCAGGGACAGACAGAATTGTTACTCAGGGACACAGAATTGTTACTGAGGGACACAGAATTGTTACTGAGGGACACAGAATGTTACTGAGGGGACACAGAATTGTTACTCAGGGACAGACACAGAATTGTTACTCAGGGACAGACACAGAATTGTTACTCAGGGACAGACAGAATTGTTACTGAGGGCCACAGAAATGTTACTTAGGGCCACAGAAAATGTTACTCAGGGACACAGAATTGTTACTCAGGGACAGACACAGAATTGTTACTCAGGGACAGACACAGAATTGTTACTGAGGGACACAGAATTGTTACTGAGGGCCACAGAACCGTTACTTAGGGCCACAGACAGAAACGTTACTCAGGGACAGAGACACATAATTGTTACTCAGGGACAGACACAGAATTGTTACTGAGGGACACAGAACTGTTACTTAGGGCCACAGAACTGTTACTCAGGGCCACAGAATAGTTACTCAGGGACACAGAAACGTTACTCAGGGACACAGAATTGTTACTGAGGGACACAGAATTGTTACTGAGGGACACAGAATTGTTACTCAGGGACAGACAGAATTGTTACTGAGGGCCACAGAACTGTTACTTAGGGCCACAGAACTGTTACTTAGGGCCACAGAAACGTTACTCAGGGACATCACAGAATTGTTACTCAGGGACACAGAATTGTTACTGAGGGACACAGAATTTGTTACTGAGGGACACAGAATTGTTACTCAGGGACAGACACAGAATTGTTACTGAGGGCCACAGAACTGTTACTTAGGGCCACAGAACTGTTACTTAGGGCCACAGAAACGTTACTCAGGGACACAGAATTGTTACTCAGGGACACAGAATCGTTTAATTAAAGAGTATGTCAGACAACATGCAGAGGAGTGGCAGAGGAGGCAATGTTTTAGGAGCGAGCAGACGTGGCAGCAGAGGAAGGGGTCGAGGCAGCACTATTCGCAGCCAGAGGCCAGTGCTCCCGGTGTCATCCAGTACAGTGAGGAAGAGCTAACAGAGGGCGGTCAGGAACGGGGGGAGACATCCGCCTCTTCAGCAGCCAGGCGAAGAAGTAGTGGCGAGGAGAGTGGCTCGGTAGCCGGTGTAGAGACAGGTCTGTCTCCTGACCCACACGCAGCCGAGGGGGCTAGTAGTGAGGCGGAGACCCTAATTGATGATGATGAGGCTGATCGCACTTGGCAGCCTCGTCGTCATCATCAGGCTATTGCTTCCGCATCATCAGGAGAAGAGGGTGGCAGCTTGGCAGCGAGCAAAACAGTCGGTGGGTTGTCTCCATCGCCACACTCTGCCATGTGCCACTTTCAGATCTCCTCACACACTGCTGGTGTGTTGAATTTTTTGACATAGGGTGCTGGCAGATTACGGGCCTCCCATAGCTGCTGCCAGGCCCCTAATCTGCCATGGGCCCCTATACCGCCTCCTCATGCTGCTGCCAGGTCCAGCCAGGTCCACATTGTCTCTCATCGCCATCTGCCATGTGCCACTTTCAGGTCTCCTCACACTGCTGGTGTGTTCAATTTTTTGACATAGGGTGCTGGCAGATTACGGGCCTCCCATAGCTGCTGCCAGGCCCCTAATCTGCCATGGGCCCCTATATACTGCCTCCTCATGCTGCTGCCAAGTCCAGAGTCTCTCATGGGTCCCTGTACGGCCTCCCATTGCTGCTGTCTCCATCGCCACACTCTGCCATGTGCCACTTTCAGGTCTCCTCACACACACTGCTGGTGTGTTGAATTTTTTGACATAGGGTGCTGGCAGATTACGGGCCTCCTATAGCTGCTGCCAGGCCCCTAATCTGCCATAGGCCCCTATATACCGCCTCCTCATGCTGCTGCCAAGTCCAGAGTCTCTCATGGGTCCCTGTACGGCCTCCCATTGCTGCTGTCTCCATCGCCACACTCTGCCATGTGCCACTTTCAGGTCTCCTCACACACTGCTGTTGTGTTCAATTTTTTGACATAGGGTGCTGGCAGATTACGGGCCTCCCATAGCTGCTGCCAGGCCCCTAATCTGCCATGGGCCCCTATATACCGCCTCCTCATGCTGCTGCCAATTCCAGAGTCTGTCATGGGTCCTTGTACGGCCTCCCATTGCTGCTGTCTCCATCGCCACACTCTGCCATGTGCCACTTTCAGGTCTCCTCACACATTGCTGGTGTGTTGAATTTTTTGACATAGGGTGCTGGCAGATTACGGGCCTCCCATAGCTGCTGCCAGGCCCCTAATCTGCCATGGGCCCCTATACCACCTCCTCATGCTGCTGCCAGGTCCAGGCGAACGTAGTCACACAGGGGAGGAACTTCTCAGTGTAATGAACAGAGAAATCGCAGATGGCTGTCTCCGCGCAAACTGAAAATCGGAACCATGTTGACCGACAACGGAAAGAACATGGTGTCTGCTCTGCGTCAAGTAAGGTTGTGCCATGCGCCATGCATGGCTCACGTGTTCAATCTGGTTGTCAAGCGGTTCCTAAAATCCACCATCCCACTGCAAGACATCCTTAAAATGTCACGTAAACTTTGCATGCATTTCAGCCATTCCTACACCGCAAAGCACACCCTCCTTGAGCTGCAGCGGCAGAACGGAATTGCACAGCATCGCCTGATCTGCGACGTTGCAACAAGGTGGAATTCAATTCAACCCTACACATGTTAGACCGCCTTTACGAACAGCGAAAGGCCATCACCGATTTCCTGATGTTACAAGCGGATAAAGGTACTCCCCTGTGTGTAACTTCGATGTCAGCCATTGGCAGCTCATGCGTGACACCTGCCGCTTGCTCAGGCCCTTTGAGGAGGCCACGCTATTCGTGAGTCGGCAGGACTATGGGATGAACGACGTCATTCCTCTGTTGCACGTCCTGGAACAAATGCTGTTAACAATGGCTGGTCAGGGTGCGGTAGACGTGGCGCACAGATCTCAACGCCACATGACCCCTGTGGGGGCAGGACAGGAAGAAGAGGAGGAGGTAGAGGAGGACATTTGTGCTCAGGAATTATTGAGTGAAATGGGTGGTTTTTCCACTCAGCGGACAGGAGTGGAGGAGCAGGAGCATCTGGTAGAGGAGGAGGAGGAGGAGACAGAGGACCCAGACGCACCGTGGCAGTATGCTGTGGAGATGGAGGCAGGGAGTCCCTCGCATTCCTTGGCACAAATGGCCCATAGCATGCTCGGTTGCTTGCGTAGCGACAGCCGAATAATAACCATCAGACAGAGGGATGACTTTTGGCTGTCCACCTTGTTGGACCCTCGCTACCGTTCAAAAATGGTGGCCTTTTTCACACCTGCTGAGAGGGAGGCCAAAATAACGTACTATAAAAACCACCTATGTAGTCAGTTGGTCTCTGCCTTTCTGCGCCAATGTCCATCCTCAGACACTGTGGGCCCTGTGCGCTCGCGTTCCGCTGCCATGGCAGCAGGGGAGGGGTGGGGTGGGGTGGTAGGAGCAGTGGCAGCTCCACCAGCACGGCTGCCTCAGTCTGCAGTCGATGATGAGTAGCTTTCTTCACCAGCGCAGTGAGGAAACTACTAACCAGCCGCAGCAGCAGCAGCAGCATCAGGTGGACCTGGAGCAGGACCTCAAACAACAGGCTTGGGCCTACTTGGACAGCACCCTGCCAACCGAGGTAGACAATCCCCTTGACTACTGGGCAACGAAACTTGACCTTTGGCCCCAACTAGCTGAATTTGCCCTTGAAAGGCTGTCATGCCCGGCCAGTAGCGTGGCATCGGAGCGCGTGTTTAGTGCGGCAGGAGGTATTGTAACTCCGCGGAGGACACGACTGTCCACCCAAAGTAATGAATCAGGCGTGGATTAGTCTGGATTTCAAACCACCAGTTCCTGACACAACTGACTAAATCCGCCATGAATCATGCCCCAAACATGTGCCACTTTCAGGTCTCCTCACACTGCTGCTGGTGTGTTGAATTTTTTGACATAGGGTGCTGGCAGATTACGGGCCTCCCATAGCTGCTGCCAGGCCCCTAATCTGCCATGGGCCCCTATATACCGCCTCCTCATGCTGCTGCCAAGTCCAGAGTCTGTCATGGGTCCCTGTACGGCCTCCCATTGCTGCTGTCTCCATCGCCACACTCTGCCATGTGCCACTTTCAGGTCTCCTCACACACTGCTGGTGTGTTGAATTTTTTGACATAGGGTGCTGGCAGATTACGGGCCTCCTATAGCTGCTGCCAGGCCCCTAATCTGCCACACACTCTGCCATGTGCCACTTTCAGGTCTCCTCACACTGCTGGTGTGTTGAATTTTTTGACATAGGGTGCTGGCAGATTACGGGCCTCCCATAGCTGCTGCCAGGCCCTAATCTGCCATGGGCCCCTATATACCGCCTCCTCATGCTGCTGCCAAAGGTCCAGAGTCTGTCATGGGTCCCTGTAAGCGTGGCCTCCATTGCTGCTGTCTCCATCGCCACACTCTGCCATGTGCCACTTTCAGGTCTCCTCACACTGCTGGTGTGTTGAATTTTTTGACATAGGGTGCTGGCAGATTACGGGCCTCCCATAGCTGCTGCCAGGCCCTACTAATCTGCCATGGGCCCCTATACCGCCTCCTCATGCTGCTGCCAGGTCCAGAGTCTGTCATGGGTCCCTGTACCGGCCTCCCATTGCTGCTGTCTCCATGGCCACACTCTGCCATGCCTGCGTTTTCACTTGTGCCACTTTCAGGTCTCCTCACACTGCTGGTGGGTTCCATTTTGTCATAGGGTTGCTGACAGCTTAACGGTCCTCCCATTGCTGCTGCCAGGCCCTGTAATCTGCCATGGGCCCCGTACCGCCTGGTCACGCTGCTGCTGGGTCCACAGTGTGACATGGGTCCCTGTACCCCTGCCTCCCATGCTACTCCCACTCTGCCATGTGCCACTTTCAGGTCTCCTCACACTCCTGCTGGTTCCATTTTGTCATAGGTTGCTGTATGGCCTCCCATTGCTGCTGCCTCCACCGCCACACTGTGGCTCCAAACACTGGTTTTGGCCCTCCGTGACTGCCAAAATGAGTGAAGTGTGCGGTGATTCTAAGATCGACGGCACTCATCTGCATGTCATACTGACTGACAGTATTATTTCTCTTCCCCAGCAGACTCCAAGGGCATTTAAATTAAAGGTACAGTGTTCTGCACTAATATTAAGTCTCTCTGAAGCCTAGAAACACCCTTTTTTAAGTTAAATTCACAGCGAATATATTTCGACTCGAATCGAATATTGTTCCACGAATTCGCCGAATCAGTCGAATCGAATTTTGAATACTTCGCTCATCTCTAATTATCATGCCCACCCCTTAACATACTTATCTATATAACATTATTAAAGTGGTATTAAACCCAAAACTATAAAAAAGTAATTTATTGCAGCTTACCAATCCTTAAATGAAAAAAAAAAATGGCTGCATTTTTTGTGTGTGTGTTTTTTTTTTTTTTTTTCAAATTTCACCTAGTGACCCAGCCAGTAACACAAGTCCTGTTTAATATGTTTCCACTCTATGGAAGAACAACAAAGCCACTGTTGCAGAGCAGCATTGTCAATCGAGGAAGAGGGTAGTGTTAGATGCTCCAGCAGCTTTAGATGGACTTGACTAATAAATTAAAGTTGACCTCCAGCTAAAACTTTTTAAGAAGTTTACAGGCAACAATTTTTCCTTTTGGGATAAAGGTTTTATATATATTTAAAAAAATCTGACCATTGTAAACACCCCTGTCAGTGTTAGCCCCGCCGCAATGACACATATTTGTTGTGGGAAATGCGTTTTATACTGTGTTCTTCAGTCTGCTGTGGGTGTCAATGGAAAGATAATGACATCGCAAAAATGTAGGTTGCAAATGCAGTTTGCTTGGGTGAACCTTATCTCAAGGGTATAAAAACCAACCCATTGCACTGCACAGAACCCTCATGTGAAATTGCACAGGAATTGTCATGCTGTTCCTGTTGTGATTCACATGCGATCCATGCGGTTGATTTACTAAAGGCAAACAGGCTGTGCACTGCAAGTACATCTGCAAGTGCAGTTGTTTAGATTCGAGGGGATGCTCTGAAATGAGGAAAAAGCTCTGCTGATTTCTTTCATCCAAACATGTGCAAAACAAAAATACAGTTTTTTTTCCATTTTCCTTGCATGTTTCCCCTCAGATCTAGAGAAACTGCACTTTCAGTGCACTTGGAGTGCACTTGCAGTGCACAGCCTATTTGCCTTTAGTAAATCAACCCCATAGTGTTAACCTAGGCTTAAATGTATTGTTGTAACACTCCGAACTCCCATTTTTTGCTGGTTGGATTACCAGGTGAAAAATAAAGGTGAAAAAAAGAGTAAAAAAGGGAACCTAATGCAGCCTCCACATCACAGAACCAGTAAGGACGCATATTAAAGTTTTCTTTATTGCTTTAATACCACTTTAAGTTGCAAAAATCTGTAGAGTAGGTTCAGGAAAAAATAAATTTTGCAGCAACTAGAAGCAAAGGCTGACAAAAAATTTGCAAAGCAAGCTTGTTAAACAACTGATAAAACTAAAGCAGATAATTGCTGTAAGATTAAAAACATCACTGATTAAACTTGCAAAATAGCAGATGTAAAATGAATCATGGTATGCACCAGGACCGAATTGGACGTATAATGTGAGAAATTGACATGAAGTGTAATTTAGATGATTGTGAACAGTTACATGCAAGCTCTGAGTTGAAAAGAAAAGTTAATTTTAAACCAAGATAAGCTAAGATCTTTATAGATGAAAACAGATCCAGCCTTCTTCCAGTATATGAATTACAAAGGATTTGTAATTTGCTCTGAAAAAGAAAAAGCAGATTGCAATAAACCCCTGTTGGACTTAAAGCAGAGTTCCACCCAAATGGGAAAATTCTGCTTTAATGCTTTGTCCCCCGCTCCCCATTAAGGATTGGTACCTTTGGGGAGTGGGTACCTGAATTTGATAGGTACCCGCACCTACTTCCGCTGCGATCGCCTAGGGGCAGGGGCGGACTAACCATTTGGAAACTCAGGCACTGCCCGAGGGCCCGGGGTCAGGGGGGGCCCCATGAAATGCCCCTGGTACCTTTTTCATAGACTTTTTTGAGTTTGGGCAAGGACACAGGGGCCCCATGATCCCCTATTGCCCGGGGGCCCCATGAGTTGTCAGTCCGCCCCTGCCTAGGGGTGGACCGGAAGCGGAAGCTGTCTTCCCCCCTCCCTCCCCGTAGTCTTCTGGGACAGTCTATGTCACAGGTCCCAGAAGACTACGGGGCCATTCACAAACCACAGTGCTTCTCGCTGAAGCCGCAAGCTGTCACAGCCAGGTATCCCCACTAAAGATGCCGGTGCCAAGGAGAGAAGACGGCCAGTGAAACCAGCAGTGGTGAGGACACCGCTGGACTGAAGGACAGGTAAGTGGCTGTATTTTAGTTTTTGTGTAGCTGATGACTTTTTTCTTTCAGCTGGAACTCTGCTTTAAAGTAAAGATAAAGGTTACACCTATCTAGCATTAAAAATGATCCCTCTCCTCTACTAACACCTATGCTGACTAACCCTATGTAAGGAAGATGTGTATACTGTACTTACAGTACCTTTTTTCAGCCAGCTCTGGTCATGTGAAATGGATGAGCCGTAGGAGTCAATGTGTGACATCATTTCTCCAGGCTTTACAAGCCATTGTTTGGGAGCTTTCTCCTCTCCCCTGCAGCTAGCTGACACAGGGGATATCACGCAAGTGGACCAAAGTGGCCTGAAATAGGTAAGTATATACATCTTTCTTACACAGGTTACCTAAGCCCCGTACACAGCCAGAATATAGGTTGTTGCTAGCCAGTTCAACAGAAACCGTCCGATATTCAACCCGTCTGTACACCAGCCTGTCTGACAGAAGCAGGCTGAACTTCTGTCAAACGGGTATGCTGGAAAACCAGCATCCAATTGGCATCCTATCAGTGCTGGCAGGGGTGGCAGGGTGGTCCCCCTGTCAGAACACAATATCTCAGCAGGGAGATCACTGTACTAACATCCGATAATTAGTACAGCGAGCTCCATCCCAGCTCTCTTCAGTTGTTTTTTCATTCAGCCCATTGGGTTGAACTAAAAAAAACTGATGCTGTGTACCAGGCATTAGTATAAGTGTTAGGAGGCGGAGGGGACAGTTTTAAGACTAGTAAGGTTTATCCCAGAATTCTACTTTAACAATGCTCTGTAGAACTTTTTGAGTCATTTTCTATCTTTTAGTAGGTATTTGCATTACTTGTTTTATTTTACACTGATGATGATTTACTAAAGGCAAATTCCTTTGCAAGGGAATTTGTCCCAGAGCTTAGTGAATGAAGGGAAGCTCTGCTGAGTTCTATCATGCACTCATGTGCAAGCAAATACTGTGTTTTTTTTTTTTTTTTAATTTTTTTTAATTTTCTTCACATATGGTTGGATATACTTTGCAACATGAAGCGTCATTACATTTACAAAGCCTAGGGCAAATTTCCTTGCAAGGTGCAACTTACCTTGCAAATTGAACAGCCTATTTGCCATACATGGCTCAGTTTCTTTCCACTCAACAAGTAGGCTGAATGAAAAAAACTAAGCCTATTCCCCTATTCACACAATCAAGGTGGATGGGGGAATCCTACCCACTGTGCTATTGTATTCTGACAATGGAGGGACTCCTTTGCTGTCATAATACACAGATCAGCCCTGCGGTCATTGGCTGCAGCCACTGATTGTGTGGCTTTTTCCAATAGGTCTATTCAACAGAAGTCAGATGATAGATTGACTTCCGTTGAGAGGCAGTGGCCACACATGGATTGAAATGTCAATCCTTTATGGCCACCTTAAATCAACCCCAGTACCTTACCTCCTTTAGTAAAGGAAAACTACACTGCTTCTGCACACCACAAACCAAATTTTTTAATATTCAAAGCAAACTTACCCATCCATCATTTGCCCTTAGCTTGAGCATACAGGCAGGAAAGTGTCCTTAGCTGAGAAAGCTTCTCCTCCCCTTCTGAAAAATCCTGGGATGTATGACATCATTTTCCTAGGCATCTAAACTAGGAAGGAACTAAAGAAATGTAAAAAAAAAATGTTTAAAACAAGTGAATATGATATTCTTGCCTATCTATTTACTAATGCTAGCAGCATAAGGATTCAAAATAGTCAATCTTGATTGAGAGAGTGAAGTTCCTTTCTCCCCTTCTTCTTTCCTACCTGTACCTGTCCTTGCTTTTTTTTTCCTTTGTCTTACATGGAACCTATGTGTAGTTCTTGGGAGCAGCTTTCTATATTTAGATCCTAACTTTGTTTTACCTCCCCTCCCCTCCCCTTGCATTGTATTATACCCTATTGTTTCCTTACGGTTCCCAGATGTATATTTTTGTATGACATTCTCCTTCTTGCCTTGGGGCAACCCGTGCCCCTTTTTTTCCTGTACATATATTTGAATGTCCTGCATTTGTTACTGGATTGAAAATTCAATAAAAAGTTTGAACAAGAGAGAGTGAAGTTTCCACTTTAACCAGTATAGATAGAAGCAGGTGTCTCTTGTCCTGCATATAAGATGTCATTGATGGTGGTGGTGCACCTCAGTCTTTCAGTTAACCAGGAAATGCTTATCTAGAAATATTTGACACACCCTTGTGATCAGAGAGTCAACAATGGCCTCTTTTACAATGCATTGAGTCCCGATAAAATGCACATGGGCCCAGATTATGCGCATTCAATTATTTTCATCTTCTTAACAAGAAATAAAAGAGATTTACAATAAACCATCCCTGATCAGCCTAGTTCCATTTAGTGTGAAATAATGTATTCTTATTAAGATCCTCAGAGATCTGAAGTCCAGTTTCAGTTGGTTTATAAACGTTGAGAAACACTTGCTGGTTGTTTCATTATAGAGCTTTCAGGTTGTCAAAAAGCTGAGACTTCTGTGGCTGTGGTATGAACTTTGAAGACAAAGTTCTGCACAATACTTATAAATACAGAGGCGAATGAGGGCTTGTTGTAAGGTTCAATGAACCACTTGGTCTTTTAAGGCCAATACTCTTCTATGTTTCTATGAAGGAAGTGTGACTGATGTTAAACTGAGATATTTTAGTAATGCCAATAATATGCAAACTTTAACTCAGCATACGTGCATCAGATCTTATGCCTTAAAAAGATCTCCTCGG